CGTCACAGCTCGATTTTGCCCCCCCTTCCTGGCAAAGTGACACTGGTGGGGGGGCCACGCCGCTCTACCCTCTCCGCCCCCCCAGTCTGCCACAGTAGTAACCCAAAAAAAAAAAAAAAAGAAAAAATACCTGCTGTGTTTGTATTGCCTAGAAACAAAAATCCCCCCCGCGCTCCCCACCCCGTGGTACCTTCTGATGTTTTTTTTAAGGGGGAGGGAAATAAACAGCGCGGCAGCCGCCCCCCCGCTCCATCTTTACCGAAATCCTTGCGTGAGCGAACTAGGCGGAAGGGAAAATGACCGAAAAAAAGGAAGGGAAGCGACGCGCGTTCAGAAGGCACAAAAAAATCCTCGCTCTGGTTTCAACCCGCGGCCGGATTGCGGTTCCTGGCTCGAACGGAGTCGTCAAAAACGGACACACAATTAGGAGATAATTAATTTGTTTTTTTACTGTCGAGGCCCCTTGCCTGGGGGAGGGGGGGGAGGAGGGGGAGCCGCGCCCCTTGCCCCAGCAAGAATCCGGTTGCCTGTCTCTTGATTGGTCGGCGCCTAACGAGCCGTAAGAGCTTGGCTATCTTTGGCAAGCTTCCGACAAGCACTAGAGGAATTATCGATCGTTGAATAAATGGTTCGTTAACAAGAGGTCGGTGGGCGTGTTTAACGATGACGCAAGCAGGGCGGAGTAGGGTCAGTTAGGCAGGAAGCAGTGGGCGCAGCTCTCCTGGCGCGGCGCTTACGACAGCCCGTTCACCATGGCGGCCGGCTCCTCGCCGTTCTCCGACGGGCCGTTGGCCACCTTGCCGGTTGGCTCTGCCTGCAGGGAGGAGGGAGAAGGTCGCAAGAGGGGCTTGGAATAAGCCCCGCCCCAAGCTGGCTCCGCCCAGCCACCGCCGGCTCCACCCGCCGCTGCCGGCTCCACCCCTACCTTTTGTCTCGGTATGTCGTCTTCGGTGGATTTTTCCCGGGGCTCCTTCTGCGGGGGCCGCTGGCGGCTCTGGGACTCGGCCCGGGAGATGTAATCGGCCACGGTCACTGGAGGGGAGGGAGCGGGCGCTGGGTTGGGGACAGCTGCCAATCCCCACTCCCGCCCGCCCCCCTGACGCACGCACAGCAAGGACAGAACGCCAATGGGGGAGAGGGGGAGGGGTGAGAGACAGACCCAGGAGTCCTGCGAGCCCAAAGTGGGGTGATGCTGGCCACCGGGCTAAACCAGAGCAGCCTCTGGGCTGCTCTAACGCATGGGAGTTCTGGCCACACCCCCGATCTGTCCCGGAAATGGGGCCCCGCTGCCAACACCCGGCGCAGGGAGGGGTCCCAGGGCAGCTCCTGCCCCACCATTCACACCCCACACGGCGGCATTCAGGGCTGTAGCAGAAGCGAGAGCTAAGCCCAGAGCGCCAGGATCCCCTGCCCGGCCCCGCTGGACCCCCGTACCTGGCTGCCGGTCCCGGCTGATGGAGCCGTCCATGCGGTTGCCACGGTTACGGCGGCGACGGCTCCGGTTGCGTCTCTGAGGCTTCGATTCATCCTCTGGGAAAGCAGGGAGCAGAGATGGAGATGAACCCAGGTGTCCTGCCTCCTGCCCCCCCCCCCACTCCCCTCCCAGAGCTGGAGCGAGAACCCAGGCGTCCGGGTTCCCAGCCCCCCTGCTCTGACCC